GTTGTGGAACCAGAGGTGGTCTTGGGCCAGAGCTAGCAGGGATAGCTCTTCCTCGCCCTCCCAGGGCTGTCTGGCGGCCACTGGAATGGATAGATGGGAGAACAGGAGAGCAACAAAGCAAAGACTCCCTAAGTCTCATCTTGCCTCTCCCTCTGGCGCTCGCTCGCCTGGCTGGAGAAGGGGACGAGAAGGAGTCACCGCTCACCAAGCCACAGCTGGGATTTCCAAGCTGGTTCTCACTGGGCCAACTGCTGGTTCTCACTGGGCCAGGCTGCTACTATGTGATATAAGTAAGGAGGGGGTAAGAAGGCCCAAGTGCATGACCCTCCCCAAAATGACAAACAGTCCCTTTAGTAAGATGCCCAAGTAGCATGGGGTACCAAAGGGGCAGCCAGTCAGCAGAATAATCAAGAGGCAGACTATCTGGAGAATTTAAGCGGTGAGAAACCTAGCTTGCTCATTTGATCTTTTATCAACATGTCTGCAATTCTAAACTTTGTGATAAAATGCTCCTCCCTGCTGGAGCGGATCACTCCCATCCCCCAGTCAGGGATGTCACCATCCCCCAAAAAACTAGCATTGGGCCGGCCTCTGGGATGCAGTCTGGGACACTGGTATCCTCCATAAGCAGAGCCCTCAAACACTCTCTCCTTCTAGGCCCAAGTCTCACCAAAACTCCTAATACAAAATAGAGCAGCAGGTGTAGGGGCTAAGAGCATAAACTCAAGGCTTAAATCCCAACTCCACCATTTAAAAATGCCACGCAAGTTACTTAACCTCTCTGTGCTTCAGTTTCCTCCTTCATAAAATGGGGCTTCATAGCACTGCTGTGAAGGTTAAATGAGTTAAAATGGTAAAGTGTTTAGGCTAGTGCCCTGAACGTAATACCATATATGGGTTTGCTATTATTAGTACAGCCTCTCCATTAAATTTTTGAGCAGAGGGGACACAGCAACCCCCAGGGAGGCACAGAACCTGACTTCTTCGCAAAATCTGCTTGGATCCATCTGCCTGGGCCCTGTAATTTGAGGGATGAGTCCTGAAGCATAGAAACCCCAACCCCCATCCTAACACCAAAAAAGCCTGCATACAGTGCATCAAAATGTGGAGGGTCCCCCAAGTTCCTCAAAATTCCTTTCCACGCACCTAGAGGGCTAGGCTGACCATTTCTTGGTACCCTGGGGAATCAGGCCTGCTCAGCCAGCTACACTGGATGCAATGGACCAGCAAGATAGGAGGGCAGGAAATGGGTGAAGCTGCAGCCCCCTCCACTACCATAAACCCCTATCTGGTTATAGCTCATAATTCCCTAGTGTCTTGCCCAGCCCCTGGCATGTTAGAGCTGCTCAGTCAGCATTTGTGGAATGAACGAATCAACACACAGGGTGGAAGGGTACCCTTGATCCCAGCATGACAGAAAGATAAAAAACTCACTGCCATTGAGTAGAGTCCTACTCATAGGTAGAACTGCCCCCATGGGTTTCTGGGACTGAAACTCTTTATGGGAATAGAAAGCCTCATCTTTCTCTCATGGAGCAGCTGGTGGTTTCAAACTGCCAACCTTGCAGTTAGCAGCCCAACAGGTAACCACTGTGCCACCAGGGCTCCTAGCTCACCACTAAGCTGCCGTGAAACTTCAATTCTGAGAAACATGTGCCTGTACCCCAACCTAAATACAACCCTCTTCCCTGGAGTATCCCCCAATTAAAAATTACTCCAACTGACATTCCACACTGCCAACATAAAATGTTCTCAAACCACATACATCTTTCCCAACATTCCTCAAGGGTTTGCCTAGAGCAGGGTTCTTACCTACTAAAGTTCTAGCAACAACTGGAGTCACCTCAGGGATGGCACCATCTTTAGTCTTGTTTTAAGATCCAAAAAAGGGCTCTAAGTACCTTTCCCTGAATTCCTTGTCCCCCAGAACTTCCCACTTCCTGTCAGCAAGTGGACTCTCACTCAGAGTGGCCCTATATAAGGCTTCACAGACTGTAAATCTTTACCAGAGGAGACACAGCCTCAAGCATTCTCCCTCAAAACAACTAGTGGGCTCGAACCCGCTGACTTTGTAGTTAGCAGCCTGACCTAACCCACTAAACTCGCCACCTAGACTCTTACCTTTTTAATCTATCATCACATTTAACATACTACATCACTTCCCAGCAAGTCCCTCTCGTGTCCTAGTCTGTGAACTTCGCACCTGTACCCTTAACTCTGGTCCAGAAAAGGAACCTAAGGCCTATGATGCAGAACGGTCCCCATGTCCATGGGGAGGGTAGGCAGATTAAGGAGGCAAGGCGGTACCTGCCATCACTGAGTCTCTGCTGACTCATGGCACCCAAGTGTGCAGGCAGAACTGTCCTTCATAAGGTTCTCAAGGCCATGGCTTTTGAGAAGCAGATTGCCAGATGTTTCTTCTGAGATGCCTCTGGGTAGGTCCAAACCATCGACTTGGCAGGTAAGTTGGTGGTTGAGTCCTTAGTCATTTGTGCACCCAGACTCCAGAAGACAAACAGTCATACTGTTAAACCTCCCCCCAGCCAACTCCCCCCACCCCCCACACAAAAACATGAAAACACACCTCCATCTCCACCAACAGTAGGCGCTGAGCCACTCTGTTGGGCAGTCAGGCCACTTGGTTTGCTGCAGACTTGGCACTTACAGTCAACTACTGCAGTCCAATGGGATTAGCCAGCATGCATCAGCCACAAAAATCATGCCAGCCAATGCAGATGCCCCCAGATGGCAGCTCTTGAGGCTTCCAAAAGTGCCTAGGGGCCATTTCAGCTGAAAGGAGTCCAGTTCTAACCCAAACCCAAGATAGTGACCAGCAGAGCAAACCTTGGCTTATTGTTCAAAAAAGCTGTTGGGGTGCCCTTACCTGAGCAGAGCAGATACTGAGCACCAGGGGAGTTCCAGGCCTTTAGCTTTAGACCTCCGCTAAACAGGAGCACCACTCTACAAGCACCAGTCACCACAAAGCCCTGGTCCACCACTCTGCCAGTGCTCCAGCCTGCCCTGCCCTCACAGAGAAACGACAGGGATTCCACTTCAAGTTCACCACCACCTACCTCACTGCTACCTCCAAGAGTTTAGCCTGGCCACATGGCTCACCCTTCCCACTCCAAGGCAGTAGATCGGAGCGTCAGCCCAGCCCAGTGTCTGGGATAGTGTGATGTCAAGGAAGTAGAAGGGCTGCTCTGGGACCTTTCCCAGCTCCACAAGAGGCCTTGTCTACCGCAAATTTCAGCTCAGGCTTCCCAAGCAGAGCCCCTTACTCACTCACTGCCATTAAGTCGATTCTGACTCATGGTGACACCAAGAGAGTAGAATTGCCCCTGTGGGTCTCTGAGACTGTCAATCTTTCCAAAAACCAAACTTACTGTCAAGTCAATTCTGAATCATAGGCTCCTTACAGGGCAGGGTAGAACTACTCCTGTGAGTTCCCGAGACGGTAAAATCTTTGCAGGAGTAGAAAGTCTCACCTTTCTCCTGCAAAGCGGTTGGGGGTTTCAAACTGCTTATCTTGAGGTTAACTGCTCACCTTGAGGTTAACAGCCCTGTCACCAGGGCTCCTAGAGTTCCTTACACTGGCAACCATGGTGCCCTCCCCTGACTCTCAAGGGAGTTAACAACGGAAGTGGGCTCAAGATGGGTAAAGCCCCCCCAAAACCAATAGCTTCAAGTCCCCACAAACCAATGGCTGTCAGCTTCAAGGTCCAAGGAGGACAAGACTTTCAAGGGTCAAAACAACTCCCATGGACTAACGCCATCACTGAGCACACCCCTGTGGGTGAAAAAAAAAAAGTTTATCAGTTTCTTATCCCCCTAAAAGCAGGACCCTGACCTGGATTCTCAAGATGTCATGCCATGGTTAGCCTTCCCAGCCTGGGGCCATTCTGCACCAAACCCGGAGCACAGCCAGGCACCGCAGGAGGCAGCTCCTAGCCCCCACCGGGGATCGGTGGTTTCACCCCCACTATCAAGGGGAAGAATTCAGTGGGGATAGCTGGCCCTTGTTTCCGGGTAAGAGTGTGCCCGGGTGGGGCAGGAAGGGTCTCCAAGGCGATGGGAAAGGGCGGAGGTCAGAGGCCCCGGGCAGCTGGGAAGCCCAACTCCCTCTTCAACCAGCTCTCCTATGCTCGCCTGGTCCCTGCTCCCGCTCTCTGATAGCGTTCTGGCTCTTTATCCACCACTCCACCCCCACACACATCCTTCCCGATTTCACCATCCCAATAACCTCCCGGCTGCGGGTGGTTCCAGGAAAGCTCCTCCAGCCTCCCTCCTCCCAGCACATGGCTGGACTTGGACAAGTAGTTACACCCGCTCACTCGGGGTCCTGGTTTCGCTGCCAGAGCAGAGTCGCAGGGAGGAAAGCGGGGAGCTCCGTGCCTTCAGTGATCTCCTTCCTAACCCTAACTCCCGGCTGACCCCTCAGCCCAAACCCAAGTTCCCGGGCTGGAAAGAATGTCCGCCCGTTCCGCAAGACCACATTTCCAGGGAACCGAGGGGCCGAGCTGCCGGCCCGAGCTCCCAAGGTCAAGGGGCGGGGTCAGGGTGGAAAGGGCAAGCTGGTGCCGGCGCTTTCCGCCCGCCGAGCTAATCCAGAGGAACCCCTACCCCCACCCGCGGCGGGAGTTCGGGCTCGCAGGGGAAGCTCGGTCTCGGGGACAGGCTGAGACGCGGGCCCGGAAGGAGAGCGAGGCGCCCGGCAGCCGGCGCGGGGCCGCTCACCCACCACGAGACGCACAGACCCTGGAGGGCGCGCGGCCCGCCCCGAGCTCGAGAGCGCCGGAGACAATGCCTGCCCGGCGGGCCAGTCCAGGCCGCAGGCCCCCGCCCGCTGGCCACTCTTCGCGGGGCGAAGGGCAGTGTGGCGGGAAGGCGCTGGGAGTGACGGCCAGGCCAACCCCGCGCGGCGCAGGGAGCCCCAGCGCCCTCCTCCACGCCCACCCCCGCGTGCACTTGGCGGAGCAGGCCGGGGGCCGCAGACCCACCTCCTCCTCCAGGGTGCCGCCGGAGGCCGTGCCGGTGCCGGTGCCCGTGCTCGTGCAGTGCTCGCCGTCCGGCTTCAGGTTGCTCATGGTGCGGGGTCGGGGAGAGGGGAGGGGACGTGGAGGGCGAGCGCGGCGCCGGGCCGGCGGGAAGGGGCGAAGTGAGCGGTGCGCTCCGGGAGTGCGGGGCGGGAGGTGAGCGGGGCGACCGCCGCGCCGGGCTGGGTTCACATCAAGTTAGGCGGGTGTGGGAAGCGCTGGGAACCGGAGCCGAGCCGGCGCGACCGCGCCTCCGCCTTTTCACTGGGACCCGGGAATGAGCCCACTGGCGCGGCGGCGGGGGCCGGGGGAGGGGGCGGGCGCCGGAACCGGCCTCAGCTGGGGCCGGGCCAGCCCCCTCCCCTCCCCCTCTCTGCCATCTCTGGGGGAACCCGCAGCCAATCCCCGCCGCCCGCTGTGGGCTCGCCCCGGCCCGGCCCGCCACGCGCCGGCCCCGAGCGCAGCGTCCCACCTCCCGTGCTCGCTCGCTCTCCCTTCTCCGGTCCGTTCGCCACAACTTTTTAAACTTGGAGGAACGCTCGCCGGTTAACTTTCTTAAAGGGCCCGCGCGCTCCGCGCCGACCCTGCCCGCGGGAGGCGGAGCCGGGTGGCCGGCGCCCGGCGCCCCACAGTCCTCCCGCGAGGGACGGCTGCGGCGCTGAGCCCAGGTCTTTGACCTTCGGAAGCAGCCCCCCTTTATATCTCGAGCTGGGTCGGCGCACTCCTTTAACCTCCAAGTCTAGTCGCCCAGCTTTCTGGCGCGCGCTCCTCCCTCCCCCAGCACAGGACAGCGGGGGACCGGGTTTGGGGACGACGGTAAGTGGATTGGACACCTGGGGTCTGACCCTGGCTCCCCAGTTTTGCGACGTGACCTTGAGGAAATCTCCAGGCTCTGCCCAGAGGGTGGACCCAGTCTCTGAATAGGACTCTGGGTCCTTGTGACCCCAAAGGATAATAGTCTCCGAGAGGTTCCCTGTAGGGTCGGGGAGGTTCTATTAAGGTGACTGGACTTCCCGCTTTTGGCGGGACAGTCCCGATTTTTGGAAAGAATGCACGACAAGCTAGGGAACGGTCTATTTGGTCCATATAGGCCAAATTTTTAATCAAGAACACCCCCCCCCCCCCCCTCCGGTCAATGCTGTCCCGCTTTAAATCTATTCGCCCTGTCCCTGCTAGCTCCTGGGCCCTCGCTGCCCCGCCCCGTCCCGTCCCAGCCTCGTATTCAGATCCCTCCCTCAACCCCCGAGACGGGGGGAGGGGATGGCAGCTCGAATGCTCGGGCGCGGCTGTGGTGACTCCCATTTCCCCACCATCGGTCCCATCGGGTTCCTCCAGCTTTGAAACACGTCCACGGAGATCACCTTTTAGCCACCTTGCCGAATTGGTAGAAACCAGTTCACAGCATGAAGTGGGCTGGTACTGCTGTACCCTTTTCCTGCTGGGAACTCAAGGTGTCCTGGGACCTTGAGAATCCTCCTGGTGTGGAGATGAGGGGAGACCTGCGGTCTAGCACTTAGCTTCTGCCCCGACTGCCCTTGCCCGGCTAAGGTTGCAGCACATGGGTTGGGTGAAAGCTGCAGTCGAGTTGACTTGATCCCGCCCCAGCTTCGAGTTGACTTGATCCCGCCCCAGCTTCCTCCATTTGCCTACCTGCTAGATGGGGCCGGTAGCACCGTACTGAATGTGTACATACATAATGTTAGCTTTAGTCTCACCCAGAGCTTTTCATCTCCATCCTATCCTACCATTTCACAGTTGAGGAAACTGAGACCTGGAGGTGACTTTCCTAATAACAGTCATTCAATATGTACAGAGCACCTGTTGTGTGCTGGTACCCAGCACCACTAGGTTCATTCAGGCCCCATCACAAGGGAAGCTGCCTCCTATAGGAATCTGCATTGCTAGTCCACGATGTGTGCTTCAGGGCTTTCCAGGTGTTTCTAGCCTTTGGCACTTTCAGATGGAAACACCACTGCCACCTTGTGAACCCTCAGATATTCTGGCCAGCCTTCAGTGACTCTCTTTTTCACAGGCCTAACTCCAGTGTGCTGTCATCCCTGCCCCCCACCCCCACTCTCCCAATTCCTAGAATCATGCATGTCCCCAGACTGGCCAACCTCTGCCCTCTCAGCTCCCTCTTCTCCTGCCCTCAGCCCATCATTCCTCATCTTCTCCCGCCGTAGGACAGTGCTTCTCAACCTTCCTAATGCAGAGACCCTTTAATACCGTTCTTCATGTGTGGTGACCCCAACCACAAAATTATTTTCATTGCTACTTCATAACTGTCATTTTGCTACTGTTATAAATCGTAATGTAAATATCTGATATGCAGGATGTCTTTTCATTGTTACAAATTAAACATAATTAAAGCATAGTGATTAATCACAAAAACAATATGTAATTATATTGTGAAATAATTATTTCGAATTACAAATAAATTAAATTTGTCTTGAAGCATGGTATAGCATGGGTACTTGTATGTGGGCACATCTGCATGTGGGCGGGCCCGCCTGGAGACGAATAGAGGAACAGTGTCTCAGTTCTTAAGACCATCAGAAATATGTGTTTTCTGATGGTCTTAGGCGACCTCTGTGAAAGGGTCGTTCGACCCCCAAAGTGGTCACGGCCCACAGGTTGAGAACTGCTGCCTTAGGACCTTGCCTCAGCTTCACTTTTTCCATTTAGATATGAATTTTAAAGGTGAGGAAGCTGAAACCTAAAGAGACAACAAATTATACAAGGTCAATGATTAGCATGAAGCTGATGATGAAAATAATATGTACCAGGGGCTTCAACAACTTCATGAAATTTTTCTATTATCTTTTCATTCCATTTTCCCCATGAACTTTTTGAATCCCTTTTGTATTATTCTGCTGCTTACAGCAATATCTGCTCATTCATTACTGAAGAGTAGGAAACTGTAAAATAGTTCAGAAAATCCTGCCATCTAGGGAACAAGATTATATTTCTCTATAGTCTTTTCTTTAAACTTCTGTGTGTATATTTTCTAAAAACAAAGTGGTACTCTATGCTGAGCATAAAGTTGTTTGTTTTATTTTAAAGATCACTTTATTGGGGGTTCTTACAGCTCTTATAACAATCCATACATCAATTGTATCAAGTGCATAAAGTTTTAAGTTACCCCTTTTTTGTGTTTCAAAGTAATCAGGAGTGTCTATTTTTACTCTCAGGCCCCAAAGGGAATGGGAGATTATGTCAATGCGGAGTTCCCAGTGCAGTGAGTGGTGGTACACACAGGACTGGGGAGGCCCTTGGACTTCACCAGTGTCAGTTGTGTAACTAGGGAGACTGCCTGTAGAGTGGGAACTCGTTTCCTGTCTCCCATCTCCCTCAATTGTGACCTAGTTGGTCCAGCCTCTAGCAACTTCACCAATGTTCCCCCTATGCCAGGCTTCTTGTGACCTTGGAATTCTCACTTTTCTGTTCCCTCTGCATAGAACTCCCCACAAGGCCCACCACACACACACACCTTTCTGTGGCTCTGTTTCTTCATGTTAAACTAAAGATGCCTTCCTGGGTCTCTGGATGTGGAAATCCTGTGACTAAAGGTTCTTTACCAACCTCAAAACTCCCTGTCCCCAGGAGAGGTGCTTATAAAGTTGGCAAAGGAGCCTAACTAACCTCCACCTCGACCTCCCTGAGGGGTGGGCCCAGCTATATTCCTCCAACCCCAACTGTGATTTCTCTTGTTTCAGCCCACATGGCTGAACATCAGGGGAATCTGCTTGAAGACAAAAATAATTTCATTTTAGATTCCTGATGCCCATTCCAGGTCCTGGCACTGGAAGTTAAGTAATGACCATCAAGTGAATGACAGAGCAGGGTTACTAAGAAAAAAGCTTTAAAAGAAGTAATGTTATACTGCCATGTGAATGACTGCCTTTCCCTCCCCCAAGTGGGCACCCCAAGGGAAAGGACACAAATCACTGAAAAACAATAAACCCAAAAGGGGCTGCCTCAGCAGACCAGAGGTTTCTGACCTGGACCCCAGGCTCCCTCCTTTGCCGTCTCTGCCCTACCGCCAGTCCTTACCACACCACTAGGACATTTACCCTTGCAGATGAAAGAATCCAGTGTCTGAGGCCGAACTCAAGCCTTCTAAGGTGACACAGCAATGTAGTGGAAATCCTGGCTAAGTTTACCTCATGCTTTGTTTTCATTTCAAATTCACGTGGGTTGGAAATTTTCTAAGATAAACTAAAACTAAAGAGCTTTCCCTATTGAGGGAGGTCCCCAAATGGTTTTGTTACCTCTCAGCAGGTGTGTGTCCAGCAGTGAGGGAGGAGAAGCATGGATTTTAAATTTTGGCAGTGATTAAATGGTGCTTGCTAAACTTTTACTGACTTGAGCCCTTCCCAGAGAACCAAAGGTCACTGAATGCCTCGCTGGCCACCTTCCCTGCCCGAGTCGAATCCCTAGTTCCCAAAGCCGAACCAGCTCTGCAGAATTGCCCAACATGCCTCCCAGAGCTGGGCCTGCTGGGAAGAGTGGCTGGGGAAGACCAAGGGGCTAAGAATAAGAATCTTTGCCCTTGACCAGATTCTGGAAGGGCTTTGGGGGACTGCGTGGAGCACTGGGGCTGAGTGAGGAGGGATGATAATGAGCTGCTTCTGCCTTTGCCACTACAAGATGTGGCTCCTATCTTGTCCATCTCTTTGCCACCAAAGAGCCTGTGAGTAAGAGGAAGGGAGCAGGTCCAGGTAGTCCCTGCTGGGATACAAATGTCTACCTATCCTTTAATGTTAACGTAGTTTGCCCTCACTCAAAAAAATGACCAAACCAACTGGCTACTCAACAAATTCTCCAAGGTAATCACCTTTACTTGCTGCACCTGCACTTTTAAATCATTGGAAAAGCTTTGAGCCGTTTCTTGCACTAAAACAAACCAAACCTATTGCCTGTGAGTCAATTCCGACTGATAGCAACCCTGTAGGACAGAGTAGAACCGCCTCATAGAGTTTCCAAGGCTGAAGATCTTTAAGGAAGTGACGGCCTCATCTTTCTCTCCTACTAAAGTGAAGCTAAATAAGGACTGTCTGCACCTGCTGCCATTTACCTGCAATTTCTTACAACACACTCGGGACTGATCTGGCCCCTAACCTGGAGCCTGCCTGTACTCATTCTTGCTGAGGTCATAGGGCCTTAGGAAGGCCTTCGAGCAGCGGTTCTCAAGGTTCTCAACCTTCCTAATGCCGCGACCCTTTTATACAGTTCCTCAGTTGGTGACCTTCAACCATACAATTATTTTCGTTGCTACTTCATAACTGTAGAGATCTGAACTCAGGTCTCCCTGTACCCTTTGGGGACTAGAAGGGAACGAGGAATTGAGGTATAGAATCCAAAACAATTTTCTTCCAGGATCATCATTTATTTATTTGATATTAACAAAACTAATCTTTGAAGTTATGATTTTCCCCCAACCCCAAATGCACACCTTTCCACCACCTCCTCTTTCAATATTTGCTCACGGCATAAAGTTCACAAGGCACAAAAGAATATTGAAAACAGTCACAGTTCCTCACAAAGTTAAGCATAGAATTATGTGATCTAGTAATAATATCCCTAAGTAGATACCCCAAAAATTTGAAAAACATTCACACGGAAGCTCAGACACAAATGTTTATAGCAGCACTAGTCACAACAGCCAGAGGGAAACAACTACCACATCCAAATGCCCACCAACTTATGGATGGTAAACAAAATGTGGTATAATATTCATACCAGGAATATTGCCCAGCTGTAAAAAGAAGTGAAATGCTGATTAGTGCTATAACATGACTAACCCTAGAAAACAT